GTATTAAAGGCCTGCCTGAGAGCTCCTTTGGTCTGCGGCACTTCCTAAAATGCTTCCATTCTGTGGCATTCGTTTCCCCCACACCAAGATGTTTCCTAGTCAGAGGGGGCTCTGGGTAGCAAGCAGCTTGAGTGCAACATCCCTCAGGCAGAGTGAGGGCAGCAGCTTGGAACACCAGACATAACGGCAACTGTCAGATTGGCCGGTGGCACAGACTCATGAAGGTTGGAAGGGACCTCAGGAGTTCACATGTAGTCCAACCCCCTTCTCAAAGCAGGACCAGCCCCAACTAGATCATCCCAGCCAAGGCTTTGTCTAGCTGGGTCTTAAAAACCTCCATGGATGGAGATTCCACAACCTCTCTGGGTACCTGTTTCAGTGTGTCACCACCCTCCTAGTGAGAGAGATTTTCATAATATCCAACCTCAACTTCCCATGCTACAACTTCAGACCATTGCCCCTCGTTCTGTCATCTGCCACCACTGAGAACAGGGGTGCCCTGCTAGTGCCACTTGACCTAGGAAAAGCCCAGATCCAGCAAAGCTCATTTAAACCTTTTCCAACTGAAGGTGACAGCTTTGTTTCTCCTTCAGCAGGCAAGGCTCCCATGGAAGAGACACCTGCCCCGCCTCCCTGCGGCCCTCTCCCCTTCCACCCCAAGCACAGCAGCAAAGATGGGAGCACACAGACAGATGGTGTGTCAGAGAGCAGCCTGGGCACTCAGGGCGATGGGCCCGAACCCCAGCGCGACGGCAGCAACTGTGCAGCCAACGCTTTGGGTAAGTCCCGCCTGCTGTGTTTGCCCTCTCCCCCAGTCCCCACTGGACAGAGCTGGGGCCATTGTTCACTCTGATGTGTACAGATCTGAGTACAGGTTTCCTGTGAGGTGGGAAATCCAGAAACTTCCCTTCCCTCTGCCCTGAGTGCTGTCCAAGCTCAGCATAGCTGTGAGGAGAGCAGGGGAGTGGGGTACTCCAGCCTGTTAGCCAGGGTGCAGCCCCTGCTGTGGTAGGGACTAACTGTGGGCACGAGACACATTGGGCATAGTAGACTGGGAGCATCTTGACTGGAAAAAAGGGTGGAAAGAGATGAGAGAGAAAAGAAAGGAGGGGTAAAGAAGGAAGGGAATATCTCTGAGACATTCTCTTTATTCCTTATGGCAATGGTCCCCAACCTTTTTATAGTAAAGATCACTTTTTTTGGAACGAAAGGCCACCCCAGGATCTACCGTGCCCCCCACCCACTGCCCCGCCTCATGCCCCATGCGCCCCTGGACTGTGGAGTGTCCCAGACCTGGCTGGGACGGGGCCTGATCCCACTTCAGTGCTGTGGCTGCGTTGAGCTGCACCCACTTGGCAGCCAGAGGAACGTGGCATTGGGCCCTGGTTCAGCTGGCTCTTCTCCACAGTCCAGAGGCACGTGTGGGGCGTGCTTCTGCCACTGGGCACAGCCCAGCAAAGGCCTTGGGGGGGCCCGTGCCCCCCCACCTGTGGTCGGGACGAGGCAGGTGCTGCTGCAGACTGTCCACTGCACCGTGAGCACAAGTGGGGGTGGGGGCGTGGGCCCCCAGGGCCTCCACCAGGCTGTGCCCAGCGGTGGGAGTCCCCCCACACACCCCTGGACGACCAGATCTTCCCAGACCCGGCTGGTCCAGGGCCGCCCCCACGTGAGTTCCTGCTGCTGAGCTGAGCCATGCCCACATGTAACAAGCTGCAGCGGGACTCGAGACACAGCGGCAGCAGCCTCTGCCACCTCCGCCCCCACAGAGGTGGGGAGGGAGTCTCCCATGTCTCTGGAGGAACCTCCTCAGGCTACAATCCTCCCACCACCTGGCCAGGTCCACTTACTTTTCCCTGCTCCTGGCTGGGCCACACGGTCAGCCACTCACCGTGGGGGCCTCTATCTGGCCCCCACCTCCTCTCTCCCCCACAGATTGACCTGCTGGGGCTGGGGGCAGTGGGTGTGCACATGTATGCATGCCCAGCTTTCCCCCCAACCCAGGATCTACCATCAGGCTCTGGGATCTACCTGTAGATTAGGATTCCCAGGCTGGTGACCACTGCTTTATTCTGCCCACATTCTGGGGCCAGAGACCTGAAGGAAACCCAGCTTGTCAGACGCATGGCAGGCTAATACGTGCCTCCCTTTGGCAGGAGAATCAGGCTTTTACCCTAAAGGTGTTTGGAGGATGGAGTCTGCAAGGCTGCATCCCCCAACTATTTGCGCGTAGATCTTCTTGTGCTGAAGAATCCCCCAGCACCTCTCCCTCACCACCTCTCCCCAGGCCCTTCAACCAGTTGAAAGAGACCAGCAAAGGTCTCTGCCTTTGGCAGCTTGAGGGGCCAGGGCCTGGTGAGATGAATAGAGGGAGCTGGGTTTCATCTGATGTCCCATTTGGTTAGAATTAAGGCCCAATGCAGATGATGATGTCTCTGCATGGGCTGTAGAAGTGCTGGCTGCCAGGAGAGAGCTCTGTAGTGTAGACGAGCTTTACAGAAGCAGCTAGTGATTTCCAAATGGGCCTGATTTTCCAACGGTAATTCCTCTGCACTCTGAAATACAGGTCCCATGATGGTTTCTCAAATGGGTCCTGCATATCGCTCATCACTTATGTAGGACCTGGGTCTCTCACCTCGTTTTGATTCCTTTTCAAGTTGGGCTCAGCTGCAAAGTTTGTCTTTGCGTTTCTGTAGTGTGCACAAGGGCCCCATTGTGCTGGCATCAGGTCAAGGTGCCACAGGGTATTTACAGTCCCAACTTTGTTTTCTTGCAGAGACCTTCGCTGCTGCCAGAACCCTCGACCTGTCGGACATGGTAGAAATTTTGATTTAAGGGAGGGCGGGTTCTGGCCACCGTCCTCTCTGCCCCTGCAGGCCACGTTGGCCATGTCGGAGGAAAGCATCTGCTGGTGCAAGTGCCCTTCAGTTACTGGGAGTCTTGGCTGGGACTTGTTCTCCCTTGATGGTTTTGTGGTGAGTTCATGGATAGAGGAGGCTAGGGGAGGGGATGCAAGAGAGATAAAAGCAAGTCCATGAGCCAAGGGCTGGGAGCAAGTATGCAAGAGAGATCACAGCAAGTCCATGAGCCAAGGGCTGGGAGCAAAGCCGCAGCTGGTGTCCATGTTCATCTGTGCATGCTGCTCACTTCCCATCGTGGCAGAGCCGGATCTCACCTGCCCCTTGGAAGGAAGAGCCTGCTAGAGTGCTGGGCAGTGCTGCTGAAGCTTTTGGCTTGGGAAAGACTATTCCAAGCTTCCCTTGCCCTTGGAAATCCCCAGGAAAGGAGAAAAGAGAAGCTGAAAGTGAAGAGGTACGGAGCTCTCCTCTGCCTCTGAGCTGTGGATAGCAGAGGAGGATGGCATGCCGTGGATGGCTAGAAACTGGTACTGGAAGGACTGGTTTTGTTGGACATGCTGGTGGCACCTGCTCCACACTTTGAAGCTACCAGGAATAAGGAGCATTTGAATTCTGCTGGTGTGGATGGAATTCCTGCTCCTCATCTCATCCCCTGCTTTCCCCTTCACTTCTCTTGAAGAGGACTGGAAATTGCTGTGGGTGAGGGGGATGTGAGAGTTAGCATCCTAGAGGCATTTGGCATTTTCCTAAGGAGATTGTTCAGTAGCTGGGGGGAGATGGGGAGGCAGCGCAGGGTGTGTGTCATTGGGAAGTGTGTGAGGAAGGAGATGTTCTCTGTAAATAACTCCTTGTCTTGTACAATAGAAGCAAGCCCTGTATCTATCATTTCAGTTCCCTTGTTCCATCTCTCCCCTTCTCTTTTGCTTCTCCCTCATCTGTCTTCCATCCAGGCCTCCAGTGCTATGCTGTTCCTTTTCCTCCATTTCATATCCTGTTTGTCTCTGAAGCTGTGCATCTGTCCATTGGACTCCTTTGGCTGTCCTTATTTCCTTTGGGGCGCTTTCCCATGGTTCCTTCAACTGGAATTTCCCCTCTGTTTGTTTGAATACTCACCCTGAGCCAAGTGTCTCTGAGCATGCATGGATGTTTTTAAGCTCAGGAGCCACTCTTGTGGGCAGAGGGAAGCAGGAAGCAGCTCCTCGAGTCCCAGTAGCTCCATCAAAGTCAGTGGGGCTGTGTCAGGTGTTCCCAGGGCAAGCTGCTGCAGACCCTTTCCTGGGTGTTCAGCGCTTGTACACGGCTTGAGGAATGTTCACATGACTGCAAGTGGGCACTGCTCCAGAGGGTCAGGGATGGTAAGAGGGAGTCTTTGGCAATACCAGAAGCAATGTGTTGTGTTTCAGCTCTTCTGTTTGTATCTGCAAAGGGAGGGAGAAGAACAGTGTTTATCTAAAAACACAGACAAGGGGAATGAAGGCAGATCTGATTGCAATCGGAGAGGAAAAACGGCTCAGAGTCCGGTGTGGGAGTCCAGTCCCCCTTTCTTGGATCCCTCCCAAGATATACTTGCCTATCACCATTCACAATCCTCATGCCCGCCCTTGTCTACTGACAGCTGGCTTCTGACAGTAGCCAATTTGGATTTTAATGAGTGTTCTCAATCCATTAGACTCAGAAGCTTTCCACCCTTGGCCTTCATATATATATATATTTTTTTTTTTTCTTTCTTTCTTTCTTCTTTAAACATCTGCATTTGCTGGACAACTGCAATTTTTTTTTTTATATTTCTCTCCTAGACATGTAACAAATGCATTTGGTTCGCGTGCATTGTTTACGAGGAAAACAAAACAAAAAATATGAAAGAGAAAAAAAAACAACTTAATATATTTTATATTAATATTGGTATTTCTTTTTAAGTATTTTTTTCGTGCTGTGAACTTTTTTTTTTCTGCCAAAGACAATGAGGTTTTGTTTGTGCGTTTTAAGTTATCTTAAGTATTTAAATGTAAACCTGGCTGTTTTGTTATGCCACCCTATACCGAGATTGCTGTAGCATTCCACTTGGTATAACAGTATTTTAATAAAAAAAAATAAATATTGACAAAGGCGTAGTGTTCTCTCACACCATACCGCACACAAGAGAAGCTGGGGTTGTAAGCAAGTAGGCTGTCTGCATTTCTGCACCTGAGAGAGAATTCCCAAATGTCCAAAGTGATTTAGGAGCCTGCATGCTAAATCTCACTGCTAGAGTCACATTCCTAAAGGAATGAGTCTAGGAAGTGCAGAATAATTTCTGTAGCTCTGGGTATTTTGCTCCCCCATGCACAAAAAGCCAGCAAGGACCCTGAAAGACCCGGGATTAATATGCAAAAATACAGCCAAAAAAACAATGGAGAGCATGACGTGGGCCCCCCTGGTAACCCGCTCCACCAATTCAGCCCGGGTCTGCCTCGCTTAACAAGCAGACTTTGGGAATTGTAAAGGTGCAGGCATGGGGAAATAAGGCGCAGGTAAAGGGGGTGCATGTCCCAGCCACTTGTGAAATGAGCACGTTTTGTTTTCCAAGTCCCATGTACAAACCACTGGCTTGGGAGCTGGCTGCTACCTACCTGCCCATCAGTATTTCAGTTATGTGGCATAAGTACATTCTTGGGTGCACAAAAACTCAGAAGACAGGCCCTGATTCAGGATAGCATGGACACATACATAGCCCGGTTAAAGTAAATAGGATGACTCACAGGCCTAAAGCTATGCTGAAGTGCACATCTGAAGTGCGGCCAAAGTGCTGCAGCAAGTAGGATTCTTTTGTGATGAATTCAAATGATCTTCTGTGCCCCAGGAATGCAGGGGATGGGGTAAGGGGTGTAGGTTGTACCTGTGTTGGCCTAAGGACATAGGCAAACAAGGTTCTTTGGGTAAATCCAATATCTTTTATTAGACCAACTGAATAGTTGGGATGTCGGAGATAGGATAAATGTGTGCCTAGACACCAAATTGCTCCAGATGAGCTGCAGGTGGTTTCCCCACGGAGTAAATTGGATTATATCTGTGCTGAAGCTCCAGTTTGGGGGCAGGGAAAGGCCTGTCTGATTGATTGATTTTATTTTATTCGCAGACTCAGAGGGGTGGTGTTAAAAAAAGAAAAACACAAAAATGGTGTTTTTAACATTTTGGGGGGTTTGTTTTTTTTCCAAGAATGGTAAAACCATGGCCAGCCAATGACCAAAGAGTGATGGTGACAAAGGAGAACAGTCTTGTCAGTGAAAAGCTTCCCTTTCTTTCTGCACTTGTCTTTTCTCATTTTACTGTGCAGGACTTGAGAGAAACTCCCTGCATATGAAACAGGGTAAGAGAAATTTTAGCTGGGGCACTCAAAAGACTTAGCAGCTACAATTTTCAAATACGTTCACTGGTCAAGCCTATCTTGAACTCTTAAGTTTTTCAAAGAGAGCACAGCAGCCAACCCTCAATGAATTTAAAAGTCAATTTAGGCACCTGGTGCCCTTCATCGGCCTTGAAGATCCTTGCCCCTGTGTGATGTTAAGACACCTAGGCTGGGATTTTCAGAAATGCCCCACTGACTTGGGAGCAGATGCTCTAGCAGAGAGTTAATGGAAGCCATTCTCAAGTCCCTTGGGAACAATGCGAGCCGGGTGCCTTCAAGCTGAGGATCCAAAACTTGAGGCAACCAAGAATGAGTGGAGAGTCCAGAAAAGTTCCTCCATGCCCTCTTTGCTCTTCTGTCATTAAGGAGGGGTGGGGGATGAGTTTATAGCTGGAAACAAGCGTGAAAATCCTGCCGGTCATTTGAAATGCTTTGTCTCATTTTTTAAGGGTTGTTGGTTGTAGCCATGTTGGACTAAGGACATAGGCAGATAAGGTTCTTTGGGTAGATGTGATCTTTTTGATTAGCTATCACATACCTAATAAAATTAGATCTCACATATCTAATAAAATCACATATCTAATACAATTTTATTAGATATCATGTAGCTAATCAAAGAGATTACATCTACCCAAAGACCCTTGTCTCATTTTAAATGTTAGAGGGTCCCATCACCCTGGCCTTTGAGTATCTCATAATTGGGCATTTGTCCCCTGCAAAGAAGGGAAGAGTTGTTATCTTCCCCTTCCACACAGGGGGAATTGTGGCCTTCAGGGTGAAATCTGCAAGGGATATTATGTCCAGGCTGACCCTGGGGTCTCCCTCAGCCAGTCCAAGCCACAGGAGGCACCTCTCCCTGTGCACAATACCTGGGGGCTGCTCCCGAAACGCGGAAGGGCGAGACGAGCAGTGGCACACCCATTCTCGGTGACCTTTATAGGAGCCCATCTATCTGCTGCATGTTTGTCTGGTGCCCAGCCCTAACGACAGGCAGCGGAGACAGGACATGGGGTACAGAAGTGCCCGAAGGTGGTCGGTGGTGTGCGGGCTGGGAGCGGTCTGAGGTTCTTGGGGGCGCGCGGCGCGGGCTGTGGCCAGCAGCCCTGGCACACGGGTCAGGGAATGCAGGCCGGCTGACTAGAATTAGGCACGGACGCTTAGCGGTTGATTAAAGATTATTTTACTTACACCGAAGATGGTCGCGGTGCAGGCAGGAAAACTTGCTTGAGTTGCAGTTACAAAAGCAAAACAAAACAAAACTTGAACCTGCAGGGCACGAGAGTACATCGCAAGGGGTTTTCGGCGACGGGAAGATGCAAGACGTGAGAGTACATCGCAAGGGGTTTTCGGCGACAGGAAGATAAACCTGCAGGACTCGAACCCGGACAGAGCTCTGGATACACTCACACGAAGTTTGCTAGGCTCCGTGGAACTTGCGCGCAGGGAAGGGGTTCGACGAGGGATCGTTCGGCGATGGGGAGAGGCCAGAGGTTGATCAGACCCCTATAGCCTTCTCAAGGTACACGCTGGGTCCAATAGGCTCTG